CATACTATTTATTAAAGAATACACCCTGGGGTAATTCAAAAGGCATATTTTGAACCTTGGCGTGGGATAATTTTTTCTCTAGTTTGTTCCAGGTGTAGTGGTAATGAGCGTTTTTAAAATGTATTTTTTTACTTTTTATAACTTTTTTACTTTAAAAACTAGTTTTTAAACTTTTGTTTTGCTTATAAATTTTTTTTAAACTTTCCTAAACTTTCTTAAAACTTTTTTACAGATTTAACATTTTTCTAAGCTATTTTTTTTACTGTTAACCCCTAACTAGCAGTGCGCAGCACTAACAGTAAATTCCCCATTTTCCCATAACTCCCACCCACCCCAGCTAGCAAAATATATAGTTATAAAATATTTAAATTAATTAATTAAATAAATTGAACCCCTGAAGGTTAAAAAAAATAAATAAAAGTTAATCCTCAGGGGTTAAAAAAAATTAGATCACAGTATAATACTGTGATCTCTATTTGATCGCTGTAGGCAGTGATCGACTGGCAGGGAAGGGGTTAATTTTTATTTGGACTAGGTAAAGTGTGTTTTTTTTGTTTTTTTTACTTAAATGTTATTAAAACATTTTTTTAAGCTTAATTTTTAACTTTTAAAAGTTTCTTTTAAAACTTTTTTTAACGTTAACCCCTAGTTAGCCTAACGCCAAATCCCCCAATTCCCCACTAACTTCCACCTACCCCAGCTATCTAAATATATAATTTAAAAATAATTTAATTAATTAATTTAATTAATTTAACCCCTGAGGGTTAAAAAAAAAAGAATTAACCCTCATAGTAAAATGTAATCCCTGCCAATTGATCACTGTAGTCAGTGATCAATTGGCAGGGAAGGGGTTAATTTTTTATTAAAATGGGTAAGGGGGGGGGGGACTTTAAATAAACTTTATTTTTTTAAACAGCAGGGGGCAGGATCAGCACTGATCAGACTCCCTGCACTTCACACAGAACCCGGAAGTGCAGGGAGCCGGTAGGTGAGTATAGAGAGCACATGTGCTCGCTCAGACTTGCGGTCAGAGCGAGCACATGTGCTGGGCAGACTGACCGGGTGCTCTCGGTATGCCTCTAATGCAGAGGCATACCGGGAGCACCATTAACCCCGCGATCGCCGCGATAGCGGCGATCCGGGGTTAATTTTACCGCGTGACGGACAAGGTCCGTCACCCGTCGTTAAGGGTCTCCCCTGCGTGACGGACCTCGTCCGTCACCCGTCCTGAAGGGGTTAAATGTTTGCTTTTGTATTACACAGCTATGTTACAGTGCTGCCGCCAACCAAATGTGTTCCCTTTTGAGGGTTAATAAGTGTGTAGGGCTGTAGAAAAATACCCCTCTCTGTCTTTTTTTTTGCCATTTGGCTAAAAACAGCAGGGTGAATTGTTAGTGTGTAGGACTCACCTAGCAGGAATTACTTTGATGTGGCAGGTGAGTTTAGACTTAAATGTCCATTGGAGTGATTGTAACTCTTGTCTTTTCATTGTATGTATTTGGGTTGATGTGTACTATAGACAATATGTATTTGCTTTTGTATTACACAGCCATGTTTCAATGCTGCCATCCATCCCATTTTTTACTATTAGGTGTTAATAAGTGTTTAGTGGAATAAAAATACCCCTCTCTGTCTCATTAGAAATCTCTGTCCAAATAGATTCTTCACCTTTTGGCTGAAAGCAGAAATGTAAATTGTTAAACCCTTAAGTTCTGAGGCAGTTGTGCAAGTTCTGAACAAAACAAAATGTAAACAAAACCTTGAATTTGCGCTACATATCTGTTCAACCGTCATTCAGTTCTTTCATATTAAATGCACCCACATTTATTATATCTGGAGAAATAGGGCTTTCATTTCACATCAAATATTGAGATATGAAACATTTTCTTAGTTCTGCATGGCATTTTAACTGTTAAATCTCATAATACTGTTAGCTTTTGCTGGAATAACATACACATATTTGTGGTCAACAGTACCCCCATGTCTAGGTTTTATGGTGTTTTGGAAAGTGACAGGGTCAAATATAAAGCTTTCCCCAGTCCAGTTTTTGCACATTGAAATTTGCCAGATCGATTATTTTGCCTTTGTGACCGTATGGCCAGGGCCGATCCTGGGAGGCTGCACGGGGTGCTACAGGCACATCACAGTGTTAGGCTCCACCCCCTCTTGACCTGCTACACCCCTTGAATTAGGCTCCTCTTTGCTCACTTTGCACATGGGGTCACCAAGGAACAGGATCCGTCCCCTCCCTGGCCCAAGGTAATCCGAGGGGAGGGAGGAATTGGAGATCTTAGCCCTACTGCAGCCCCTTTAACCCCTTACCACTACAGCTCCTAACAACACTAACCTACCCATTCTACAACCCCATACTTCCTAATAGAGCCTCTTACTTCCCAATTTCTGCCCCTACACCCATTATAGCCCCACACCCTCTAGTTGCTGCCCATATACCCTACTACAGCCCCTAACCCCCATAATTGCTGTACTATACACTACAATAGCCACTAACCCTCCAATTTCTGCCCATATACCCTACTTCAGCCCATAACCCTGGAAGCAAAAAATCCCAGGCGTCTGGGATTCATCCGTCTGTTCAGTGCAGGCAGCGAGGGAGAATGCAGGAGGCCAGTCAGCTGTTGGAAAACCCCAGGGAAAACAAATCCACTCCAGCTCTCCCAAAGTTAGGGAGGCTGGGTGGATTTCAATGAAAATAATTTTAAAAATTATCATTATGTGAGATTGTGTGTGTATTTGTCTGTAAGGGTGTGTCTGTCAGTATGTGTGTGTCTGTTTAAGTGACCACCACCCTCTGATTGAATGGGAAAAATTATTATACTCACCTTTTTTCCCACGCTGTGCATGTCTCACCGCGGCTGACCTTGCCTCCATGACTGACATAATCAATCTTCATGAACTCAACCAAGTCAATGCTTTCCCATAGGAAAACATTGGATGGAGAATATTGAGGCTTTGTCCAAAGAGCAGAAGGAGCTACAGCCGACTCCTGATTCCACACATTGACCAATAGAGTGAGCGTGTGTGTCACTGTATTTTGATTAATCACAGGTGCTTGGAACAAAAAAGTAAGACATTACAGAAAGAGCACAAAGGTAAAGGAGAAGAATGAATCAGGAGCACAAAGGTAAAGTAGGACAAGGAGCAGGAATGGACATCAAGGAGCAGAAAGGATCAGCAATGATGTAAAACATTTTTATAAACCGGGAACTAGCGATTGGCTTAGAACGTCTGCTGACCACTCTAGTCAATTAGCTGCACTTCCTGGCACTGCATTTCAGAAGCCGAATACCACAGAGTGACCTGGAGACCTGGAGGAAGCCTTTGGGGTTTAACCCCTTAAAGGAAAGAGAGCACCCAGGCACCTCCTGGCATCATAGCATTTTTATTTAGATTAAGTTGTTATGATGATCAGAATGTTCCTTTAATTTGATTAAAGGAACAATATAGTGTCAGGAATACAAACAGGTATTCCTGACACCATAATTGTGAAAACGCTATTCACCCTGGCTTTATGTGATACTGACTATGCCCCTCCCCTTCTTAACACTGTCAAAAAGCATGGATCTCTACGGCAATCTGATGACTGCTTCATCCACTTTCAAAGTATTGATTCATATCTTCCATTCTTTCTGGTTGAAGGGCTATAGTTTGGAAATTTTTCCTTGTAGGATTTTTTTTTACTGTTTCCCCCTCTCTGATGACATCCCGAATGGTAATATGGTGAAGAAATTAGACTTCCTTTCTTCATAAAAGGCATCTGATGCTGTAGCTTCTAACTGCTCTTCAGGAATTTTTAGTGTTTCTCTCACTGACCTGATCAGTTTTCCAAATACTTTACCATTTAATGCCTGTAGACATATTTCCATCAGATGACTCAAATCCTACTTCCTCAGATTCTGAATCAGATTGTCTCCAATGCCAAGAGGTTCTAGATTTTTTTGCTAGAAGATTGTATGTTCTTAGCTTCCTGTATACTTCTTTTAACTAGCTCTGATATCCACTGCGTATCAGGAGAGTGATTTGTTTTGGTAATTACTGAAGCACCACCAGATTTGTGTCATCTAATGGTTTGAATCCACAGCCCATACATCTTCTTGCTCTTTTTTTTCTCTATTTTTTAGATAATGCTTTCTCAGAAGGATGTGAACTATTTTTAATACTGGAGGCCCATCTTTTTTTCTTAGAAACAGATCACTGGGATTCCGATGAGCAGGGCTTCCTAAAACACAATAGTATACTAATCTAAGCAGGTGACAAAAAAAGGTAGCAACAATAAGACACACAAACTACTATAAAACAGTGACCAATAAATTTAACTTGCAGGCACTAAGTGAAAAAAAAAACAACCCAATAATATATATATATATATATATATATATATATATATATCCTATCTTGGCAGACACAGACCCACAGTTACAGCAGGCCAGGGTAGCCTCCACAAACTAAAAAGTAGGGATCGACCGATTATCGGTCTTACCGATATAATCGGCAGATATTCGGTATTTTCAGCAATATCGGTATCGTCCAATATAGATACCGATATTGCCGATAATACCTCCTAGGAGGGGCCCGCAGGTAGCGTTTATTTACCTTTCCTGCAGCTCTTCCAGCTCCCCAGTGTAAATCTTGCGAGACCCGCAGTCGTCAGAGCGTTGCCACGGCTTACCATGTACAAAACAGACCACAAAATTTACACTAGGAGCTGGAGGAGCTGCAGGAAAGGTAAATAAACGCTACCTGCAGCCCCCTCCACTGCTCAGCCAATGCCACTGGACCACCAGGGACTGTCATATCCCCCCTCCCTGGCCAGGCAACAAGCAGGGAGGGGGGACAAAAAATAATAATAAAACATATAAATATTAAAAATAAACATAAATATTAAAAATAAAAATAAACATATATATTAAAAATTAAAATAAAAAATGCCTCCACCCTCCCCCATTTTACACAAATCACATCCCTTCAGGAAAACACACACACTCTGCATTATATACACACTACACACTCTGTATATAATGCAGAGTGTGTAGTGTGTGTATATAGTGTAGTGTGTCTATATAATGTAGTATTTATATAATGTAATTTAGTGTGTGTGTACAGGGAGTGCAGAATTATTAGGCAAATTAGTATTTTGACCACATCATACTCTTTATGCATGTTGTCTTACTCCAAACTGTATAGGCTCGAAAGCCTACTACCAATTAAGCATATTAGGTGATGTGCATCTCTGTAATGAGAAGGGGTGTGGTCTAATGACATCAACACCCTATATCAGGTGTGCATAATTATTAGGCAACTTCCTTTCCTTTGGCAAAATGGGTCAAAAGAAGGACTTGACAGGCTCAGAAAAGTCAAAATAGTGAGATATCTTGCAGAGGGATGCAGCACTCTTAAAATTGCAAAGCTTCTGAAGCGTGATCATCGAACAATCAAGCGTTTCATTCAAAATAGTCAACAGGGTCGCAAGAAGCGTGTGGAAAAACCAAGGCGCAAAATAACTGCCCATGAACTGAGAAAAGTCAAGCGTGCAGCTGCCACGATGCCACTTGCCACCAGTTTGGCCATATTTCAGAGCTGCAACATCACTGGAGTGCCCAAAAGCACAAGGTGTGCAATACTCAGAGACATGGCCAAGGTAAGAAAGGCTGAAAGACGACCACCACTGAACAAGACACACAAGCTGAAACGTCAAGACTGGGCCAAGAAATATCTCAAGACTGATTTTTCTAAGGTTTTATGGACTGATGAAATGAGAGTGAGTCTTGATGGGCCAGATGGATGGGCCCGTGGCTGGATTGGTAAAGGGCAGAGAGCTCCAGTCCGACTCAGACGCCAGCAAGGTGGAGGTGGAGTACTGGTTTGGGCTGGTATCATCAAAGATGAGCTTGTGGGGCCTTTTCGGGTTGAGGATGGAGTCAAGCTCAACTCCCAGTCCTACTGCCAGTTCCTGGAAGACACCTTCTTCAAGCAGTGGTACAGGAAGAAGTCTGCATCCTTCAAGAAAAACATGATTTTCATGCAGGACAATGCTCCATCACACGCGTCCAAGTACTCCACAGCGTGGCTGGCAAGAAAGGGTATAAAAGAAGAAAATCTAATGACATGGCCTCCTTGTTCACCTGATCTGAACCCCATTGAGAACCTGTGGTCCATCATCAAATGTGAGATTTACAAGGAGGGAAAACAGTACACCTCTCTGAACAGTGTCTGGGAGGCTGTGGTTGCTGCTGCACGCAATGTTGATGGTGAACAGATCAAAACACTGACAGAATCCATGGATGGCAGGCTTTTGAGTGTCCTTGCAAAGAAAGGTGGCTATATTGGTCACTGATTTGTTTTGTTTTGTTTTTGAATGTCAGAAATGTATATTTGTGAATGTTGAGATGTTATATTGGTTTCACTGGTAATAATAAATAATTGAAATGGGTATATATTTGTTTTTTGTTAAGTTGCCTAATAATTATGCACAGTAATAGTCACCTGCACACACAGATATCCCCCTAACATAGCTATAACTAAAAACAAACTAAAACTACTTCCAAAAATATTCAGCTTTGATATTAATGAGTTTTTTGGGTTCATTGAGAACATGGTTGTTGTTCAATAATAAAATTAATCCTCAAAAGTACAACTTGCCTAATAATTCTGCACTCCCTGTATATAATATAATGTAATGTAGTGTGTGTGTCTATATAATGTAGTGTGTGTGTATAATGCACACACTACACACTCTGCATTATAGACACACACAACACTCTGCATTATATACACACACACTGCATTATATACACACACACTACACACACTACATTATAAACACACACACACTGCATTATATACACACATACACATTACATTATGTACACACACACTGTATTCATTATATGCACACACTATACAAACACACTGCATTCAGTATATGCACACTACACACACTGCATTCACTATACACACACACACACTGCACTCACTTTACGCACACTACACACACACTGCATTCCTTTTACACACCACACACTACACAAACACACACTCTGCATTCATTATATACACACTTCACAAACAGTCACTGCATTAACTATACACACTACACAAACAGTCACTGCATTAACTATACACACTACACACCCTGCATTCATTATATACACACTACACAAATACACACAGCTCCACTGTCTTAACACAATGCATCCAGTGCATGTGGCATGTATATTTTGTGCATTTACCTTTAGAAATAGTTTATTTTTTCAAAATGGTAAATGTGCAGAATATCAGCAAGTTATCGGCTATCGGCCTGAAAGTTAACAGATTATCGGGAACGGATCTAAAAAATCAATATCGGTCGATCCCTACTAAAAAGCTGCTCAATTGCATCTTATCTATAAACAGTGGCTCACACAGATGCACAGAGTGAACCAAAGGATGCTGAGCCCGTCACGTATGCACCACCTGGAAGCCAGGACCATAAACATGAAGACGTAACTAATTGCGGTTGCCATATTGGATAAGGCTAAACTCCCAAACTAGCAGACACTGTCAAAAATGTGGCATAGAACTGGCATTTTCATTTCCTACAACTAAAAGATCCTTCCAATGGGGGGCGCTCACCTCTTCAACTTCCCCCACTCTTAAAATAGGTATAAATTCTTTCATACCTTTATTGCTGGAAAAAAAATCTTGCTAAATTTAATAGCTAACCTTAAACCCTGCTAGCCCTATGACCCATACACTGTTTACAGGGTCCATCAGACAGAGAGTGGTTAAACTCTGCTGGAAGTACCAAATATTATTTTTGGGAGGTGAGGCATAAAATAAACATATTTAAGAGATACAATGATTTTCTTTCAACCTGTCTACAGCTGACAACAGATAAAAAAGACTGTTGAACACAGGAAGAGGAGGTCCTTATATAGTTTAAATTTATGTTAATATATTCTTGTCCTTAGAGCTAAGGGGAGGAGTTAAACCAGTAGTGATGTTGCCGTGGTTAGGCAGGAAAGTTGTCAAATTTAAGGTCAAAAGTAGCTGAACTGGAAGCATTGCTGACATTGCTGACATTGCTGACAGTGTTTCCAGTTCAGTTATTTTGGCCTTAGATTTGAAATTTATTTTGAATCACTTAGAATCATTCTGACAACTTGACTAATTACTTGCAAAACTTGAACAAAAGTTGATTGAGAAAAAAAATCTACAGTTTTTGTTTGTTTTTTTTCATTAGTGTCATTACTACATTTTGCAAATCAGAGGACATCTCACAACAAACTTCTGTTAAATGAATGAACACCTTTTACAATTCAATTCATTTTATATGGTCCTACTGAAGCTTTGATGATTTTTTTGCTTGTTTTTTTTAAATAGCGTTTTCATATGCAATATGTCTGTATTTTTCACCGGTTCTAAATATTTATCAAAGGTTATCCTACTGTCAGATGTATTAACGTCATGCCATGCATATTTCTGAACAACATTAAGTCAGAAAAGATTTATAAGATTCAATGTACATGTATAGCAGTGTTGCAGATGGTAGGCATCTGTAACAAAACCTCTTTAGAGTCTAATAACTTAAGCATGAGCTGCACTGACTTACCAAATTACTTACACAATGCTATGTGAAATTTTTATCTTTGGGAAATATATCCATGCCGACTATTCACTCAAGGCATGTCTCATGTTATAATTAACTCATACTACCCGGTTGGGTAAGCCTAGATATAATGCCAACATTCTAGCAAAATCACAGCAAATCTTTTGTTAGCCACCAGCTCCTGCCCAACCCTTGAAACTGAGCTAGGTTGGCTGTTCATATTGCAAATGGAAGATCACATGCTCATGATGACTAGCCAACCTGTTAAACAAATTAAAGTAAATCAATAAAGGTCAAGTGAATAGTGAAAACTGTCAAAGTTGTAAGATGCTTAGTGTTAGGCAATGATGAGATTAACCTTGCATTACACATATAACGGGTGAATTAAAAGATTAAGAGTTCCCAGAATCCTTCCAAAAATGTGAGACCACCAAAGGGTGGCTTCCTATTCCTCTACACCAGAAGAGGTAGTGGAAATAAAACCAAAATATGTATGTTCCAAATAGCAAGGAATGTGTGCGAGAGTGACTTTTGGGATGGGAATATTAAATCTCCTGTACCACTTTGCTCTAAAACCCATCCTGTGTAATAGACTCCCTGCGGTGGCATGATATGCTTATTGTATAAATTTCTGCTCAATCTCTTGTGCTGTGAGATAAGGTTTGGTTGAGTAGATTTCAGGTACACAAGTCCATTAAATATACCACACACAAATACCCGCTATTGACTATATTGCTATTAATAGGAATAATATGCCAACTTGAGTAAATTGCTAGTGGTATACCTAGTTCACACGACATCAAAAAAATAGTAATAGATAGTAATAACAATCATTATTTTGTTCACTCTATTTATGTTATTGTGGTTTCTACAACTGTGGCACGCTCAAAGGAACACTGTCTATACTAAAGGAATATATGTATTTCAAACTGTCTACTAGACATGTATTCAGAACTGTCACAGTATATCTATATCTATAAGAGAAGCCAAACATACAGACCCTACTCTACAACAGAGTATAATATAATCCGTATTACCTGTCTTAGAGTGGCCTGGCTTAATTATGAATGGTCAGAGAGATAGCCAAGTTTAAGGGTAAACACTAGACAATCCAAATATCAGGACTACAGAGAGCAGAATAAACAGTAATCAAGCCAAGGTCAGTAACACGAGATCAAAAATATCACAAACTATTTGACTAAACAAGAACCACAACAGGGCGGATGGGATGAGAAAGGCAGAGTTTGAAATACTAGTGGCTCTTTTAAGATTGGACCATGTCATAGAGGAGCGCCAGAAGACGCAATGTTGGGGGATTTTGCGCCATTTCAGCTTTGTTAATGTGCACCAAATAGGAGCAGTTTATCCTGCCCTGCTAGTTTGCCTCTAAGATAAGGATGTGTTTGTCCCTGCACCTCATCTTCAAGATTAGTCTGCTTAGTTTCTTAATTTTCAATCACGTTTTT